ATGAGAAAGAACTGATGAGCAATGCCGATGGGGTGGTTAATCGATTTCGGCTAGTTTCGAAGCCTCCTCCTTTTATTAAACTCCAAATAAATAGAATTGTTTATTTTGTAATTAGATTCAAGGTTCAAAGAAGTTATTTAGTAACTGTATTAAGCCCTTTCTCCTTCATAAGGTAATATGGTCTCACATCACGGAGCTATCATCAAGATAGTTTTCAATAAACGATATTTTCCCCATCTGACTATAATTCATCTGAGAAGCTTCCACTGCCTGTCACAAGCACTTCAGAAATCTCTCTTAGCCGAGTAGCTAGAAAGAAAATAGTTTTCATCTAGAAATGTTGGTTGACATAATGCTAGTTTGTACATTCAATAAAATATGTACGTGAAAAGAAATAAATAATTTAGAACTGAAGAATTCTTCTGAGTACCTTTTACAACAAATTTTAGCTTGACTTCTAAATCAGATCACCTGCATTAACTAAACTGGAAATGAACGCCAGGATTTGGCACTGATTTAAAAAATGTGAAACATTTTCAATAGCCATATACAATTTCAAATATATCGCATCATATTTTTGAAATTGAGAGAAACTTTGAAAATAGTTCACGCCAAGTTCACAGCTCTTGCTTCGCTCTTATAGTTGATTTTATTTAAGTACAAGTATATATTGATTTTATCTGTTGATGTTATTAGTTATTGAAAGCTTAGCTTAGCCGAAAACACGAAGTCATTATTATAAACTCCATCAGATTTCCTAGACTCCAAGTATCCAGGGTATTTCTTCTAATTCTAACCTAACGGGCATTACGATACCTTTTATTTTCTTTAAACTTGACTCGCACTTTTGCGCCAGCAGCTGTTCTTCGCCCACATATGCAATTTACTCATAAAAATATTGTGCCGACTTCCGATTAAATAAGAAAGCAGCTGTCCAAATGGCTCTTTAGAATAACACAATTTGAAAACAGCTGCAAATATATTTGTAGCACTAAAATAAAACCATAATATTGTCATCTATTTTCCCATAATTAACTGCATTGCATGCAAAAATTTAAGAGATCTGTGGATCTTAGAAACATGAACTTTAGAAAAGAAAAAAAACAGCTGCAGGGCACAAAATGATGTTTCCTATATATTTTTTAGGGTTTAAAGTATTTTATTTTCAAATTGTAAAGAGCATTATTTGCTGGGCTTAAGTGCTTCAGAAATCCAACAAACGAATTCTTCCAATTATGTAAATAAGCGTGGGGGAAGTACTAATTATAGAAATTAATATGTAGTTGTCTGTCGACTTGGCCTCATGGGATTAATCGTAAATTGCTTATGCAAACAGGATATATTTTTAGTAAAATGCTCCTAATGAGTTGCTGGACGACTTGACCCACCATTGGGCTAAAATTGCGTAACATTTGCTTGGCTTGGTAATAAAAATGAACGCCGTTGGGGAGAAATGAACGAAAATACGCCCGCTCTTTAAAAATATATTACTCTTTAGCTCACTAAATTAAGCAGTTTCTTGAATCTTCATATCATATTATTATAAATAAATACCTACAATATTACTGTTACCGAATTTCTGAACAATTTGACCCGATATTGGGGTACAATTATTTATTTCTGTGAGTTAGAAGATTTCTTTATACAAAAATGAACTGCTCTTAAGAAAGTAATTTACGAACAAATGTAACATATCACATACATATGTATGTATCAAGGGAAATTTTTACAAATTAACCAAAATATTGCCAAGAAGGAGTGTGTGGAAAAATGTACCCGCCATACGGGGTTCACCGAATCTTTATATACTAGTATATAATTGCGCACAATTCTAGAGGTACGGTTGGTCGTGTTGCTGCTTCTACCTCCTAGGCATTTACGTAATGGGGTGGGCTAACAATATTTGTCAACAGGTTCATTAGCGGCGCCAGTTGCTGGGGGAATTTGTTAGTTTGAGAGCCACAGCAGCAACAGCAGCAGCAACCGCCGCTAATTATGTGGCTATTTGTCTCGTTCGTTGGCTGGCTGGCTGGTTGGCTGGTTACCTGGCTGCCAACATGCCTGCCTGACTGCCTAACTGCCTGCCTGCCTGCCTGATAATTGCGAGACGACAAACGCACAGAGCGCTGTGAGTTTTTTGGCAAAAAGGTGCGGCAACTGTTGCCAACAACGGCGGCTTGCTGGCTGGCTGGCTGGCTGGCTGCCTGCCTCACTGGCCTCTGTCTCTGCCGTCTGAGTTGTCACATGTGACAAGACACGTGGGCTTGTAAGCCAACCTCCCCCCCTCCCCCCTCCCCTCTCCTCCTCCTCCTACCATGCGAATTGGAGAGAAGTTGGTGGGCGGAGGCTGCGCCTTCATTGTTACCTGACTAGACACACCTACGCACAGAGACGCATACACACACACGCACACACACACTCACACACACCCAAGGAGTATTAATAATGCATATTTCATTATATGGGCGCGGCACGTGGGGCAGGGGGTTCGGGCATCTGTAGGGTGTTTGGGATTATTTGGGTTGGTTTTTCAGCTTTATTTTAATGAAATTTGATTGATTTGCATATGCGAACGGATGCGTCGCTAAATTATCAAAATGTTTTTGTTTGCACGCAACACAATACGCCCACAGTCTCAGATATTTTTGTCATGAATGGAACAAGCTTCAAAGTCTCGGCAGATGGAATGGTTGGGCCTCATTCTTTATCGCTGTGCGTCAGCTTTTAAACAAATGCAAAAACAAACAAAAAAAAAACACATCCAATCGGAGATCATAGCACAATTTCCCAATTAAATGTGAATTTCTTCCGAAAAACCAGTTCTTGGTTGCCTCAAATTGAAGAAAATGCTTCCATTAGAGTTATATTTTCGGTAATTAGGAGACACTTTTGTTTGGAATGGAATACATTTTGGGAGTCTTTTGTTGAAAGCTTGTTTCGGAGCTGGCTTTAGAAATAAATTTGGCTTTTATCGCCTTAGTATTTAGAAGTTCGTATGAAAGAGGGGGTCAAGATCGACCTTTATTTGGTGAAACATTGTGTTTCATAGATATTTCTAAAATTCGCTGTAAGCCCTGAAAAGGAGAACATTTTTGTCCTCACTTTTTTTTTTGAAGGTTAATAAAGGGAAGGGAAGGTATAGAAACTCTAGAAACTCGTAAGATAATATTGATATACCGAGAAACATACAGCTATTCCGGAATGAATTTAATGAACTTTTCAAAGTGGACTTTGATTCGTAGTTATATATTTTTAGGAAAAACCACCTTCCTCAACAACGGAACGAAGCCATGTAAAGAAATATCATATCATTTATCAGAAACTGTGAGATCGAAATGAAACTAATGCGACATTTGATCAGCCATGGCGCCCAACGGGGGGCCGGCGACTTTGTCACAGCAACGTGTTGTATAGAACGACTACATATATCAACTCTTCAATTATAGGTAATTTAAAAGTAAAGAAGTATATACATTGCGGGCTCGAAGTTTAATTGAAATTGGGTTTCTACAATTGCTCATATATGGGTGAATCTTCTCCCAAAGAGTTGAACACTCTATAGGAGACAAATACTCGTATCTAGCTGAATTTTGAGAACATTTAGATAATATACCTGGGGTATATGATGTTTTCACTGTACATATACTCAACATTATATTATCGGCATTGTCGATAAGAGATAATAAGTAGTTATCAACATGCTGCTCTACATGTGTAAATCAATTTGCCTTTACTCTTCCATTCTCTGTCTCTTGCGCTCTCTCCCACTCCATTGGTGTCTCTCTGCCAATCCAACCGTTCGCTTCCGCCGTGCGTCCATAGTTGCAACAAACAAAGAGCGGCACTGCAACCACCCAGAAGCAGGATCTGAGCTTCCTCAACGAGTCCACGCCCATCTATGTCACCTCCTTCACCAGCAATCAGATCACCTGCAGCAGCGCCACCATGACAACGGCCACAGCCGGCGGCCCGATCAGTGCGCCGACGCTGGCGCCCACCACAGCCACAGCGACTATGCCGACGCCGGCAGCCAGCGCCGGGGATGGCGCCCCGAAGCAGCCGGCACAGAGTGCCACAGCGTTGGTTAGCGCCGCTGTGGCAGCTGCCACGGCCGCCGATCGCAATGCCAACAATACGACGGCGGCTATTGTGGGTGCCACGGCAGCGGCGGCGGCAGCAGCCGCAGCAGCCACTGGCGTTGTTAAGCAGCCGCCGTCCACAAGCAGCGCTACTGGACACATTTATCAGACCAGCCAGGCGCAGCAGCAGCAATTGCAACAGTTGCAACAACAATTGGCCGCCGCCGCTGCCTCCGGAAAGCCGCTGCAGGCCAAGTCGCTACTGGCCAGCAGTCTGCAGCATCTGGCCGAGGAGGTGGACGACGAGGATATCGACGACGATGACGATGTCGATGGCGCCAACTATTGTGGCATCACCTACATTAGCTACAACAACAAACACGCCCAGCTGCCAACAACAACGCTGCCGGCCACTACCACTCTGCCCGCCGCTGCCGCCACTCTAGCCACCACAGCGGCCATGCAACAACATCAACAACAACAACAGCGCCAACTGGCAGCCAAGCCGCCGCCGCTCCAACTCAGCAGCGATACCATATTCGTGGACGCCCAGACGTCCACATCGCCGCTGGCAGCAACGAGCATTGTGACTGCAGCGGACATCACGTTGCCGCCGCACTCGTTGACGCTGGGCGGCTCCTCCGATGGCACAACCACGCCCAAGACCGAGTACTCGACGGCCATATCCAGCGGACAGCTACAGCAGGCCTTTGCCGAGCTTCAGTACTACAACAACAACAACAATGGCCTGGCCACATTTCAGCAACAGCAGCAGCAGCAACAACAACATTTACTTTTAAGCAACAACAATAATAGCAATAATTCCATCGCATCAGCAACAACAACAACAACTAATAACAGCAGCAACATTATAGCCGGAGGCGCCGCCGCTGTCGCTGCCGAGAGCGCACATTTTATGAAAAATTGTGATTTACTAATATCGAATAATTTGTATCCACCGAGACGAGAGGTGAGCGCGCGCGCCGCAAACAAAATGTGTCCTCTTCTGTTATCCTCTTTGGTTGCCTTATTGGGAGTGCAGCGGTGCTTCCCCTTCTTCTTTTTCTTTTGGGCTCTCAACAGGGATCGCATGCAATTTGTTTCCCCCTTTATTTTTCCCTCCTCAAAATATTTGATTAATGTAGTAGTTTGTTTTTATTTATTTCTCGATAGATATAATAAAATATAATAAATAAAAGACCAAAGTTAAAAAACCAAAGATATAATATGAAATATTAAAAAGAACTATTAACGATGAAATATAAAAGATAATAGATAAACGATCAAAGATAAACAATAAAAGGCTAAAGATTAAAAGACTAAAATATTTGAAATGTAACTGAAGTAAATAAAATGCCACATAACTTGAGAGAAAATGTAAACATTTGTATAAAATGTATTTAAATAAATGTAAAAATGAGATTTATTTCGTGACTAACACATAAGCCCCATAACATAAATTGAGTTTCTTGATAAATGCATAAAAGTAAAAATAATAGAGATATACATACATACATATACTCGTATATATACATATGTCGGAGAGAGAGGTTGGACAGCACGGGTTATGTGTGGCGCCACAGACAGACTCGTGGCTTGTGGCCTCACTCCTTTCCTAATTTTCGCTCCCTTTTATTTCGTTTTCATTTAATGCCGGAGCAACTAATATGCCTTGCTCTCTCAACAATATAGTATGTGTTAACTGTTAGATCACATGACCCTCTTTCCTTGTATTGGTTTCTCACACAACATCCTTTATTGAATTACAATTATTCTTGTGTTCACATTTTCTTATTCCCCCGCTCGTAAGAACAAATACTATTATTTATGTTAAAAATAGAAACAATTATTTTAAGCAGAAGTCAAAGGTTATTTAATTGCTTAGCAGATTATTTTTGAGCCATTTTTTGAATTGCTATTCATTTGCATTTTTTGTTGTTGTTGTAATATTTGAACGATATGCTAATTTTCCGCTTCGTCTCTCTTCCGCACAGTTACTAACTACGCATAACGACGACGTCATAATACATCAGTCCAGTGATGGCCACCCATATAACATAACAGCAGCAACAACAACAACAGCCGCAGCCGCAGCAGCAGCAGCAGCAGCATCAGCTTCAGTAGGAGAGTCAACAACAACAACAAACGCTAATAACAGTAATCTGTTCAAAGCTGCTACTGCCGCCGCCGCAACGGCTGCCTATGAACAGCAACAATTACAATTGCAGTTACAACAACAAAACAGTCCCACAAGTAGCATATCAAAAGGAAGAACTGAACTATTGTTGGGCGATCAATCGCTGCGACAGGATCCGCGGTAAGTTCCCCTGCCTCCCTCCCTCCACACATCTCCCCCACATCTGCTTACTGGCATTTCCACATGAGTTGCGTTAAGAAATGAAACGAGCGCGAAAAAGTGTAGCCTAACCCGCAGGGGCTCTGTTAAATGCCGCCATGCTGCCAACGGCTAGTGGCTTGCCAACTGTAGCGCCTCATAAACTGTAGTTACTAGCGATTTGTTTGCACAGCCCACTACTGCCGTGTTTGTTTTGCTTGCCGGTCTCGTATTATTCCAAGCATTCATTACACACACACACACACACGCATATACATATGTACATATGCCTTAGCCACTGCCCCTACCCCTGGCCATGCACTTTGCCAACGGCACGTTTAATAAACCAAAACGTTGCCGCTGTGCCGTGCACTGAATGGAATTTTGCTCGCTGGTGGAAATACCCCCATGTGTGCCACACAACACACACAGGTATGGTGTATGGGTGTGTGGGTGTGTGTACACAGCGTGTTTATGACTGCTTATTTATTTACTACGTTTCCTGTTAGCTCGCTAACTTGCTGGATTTTCCAGCTGGTTGCCTGTTCCTTGCTGCATTCGCATTTTGCCTTTCGGCCAACGCTGACATTTTTCACACATACTTTACAGCGCCAGAGGTGTGTGCATGCGCATAAGTCTGTGTGTGTGTGTGTGTGTGTGTGTATCTGTGTCTGTGTGTCCTTGCTCGACTGCCTCGCTGCATGCCAAATGAACCTGTTGTGATTTTGCCCGCGGCCAGTGCGCATAGATACTACACGGATAGATATATGGAAAAGACAATCTGCTAAAGGAGACGACGAACTACAAGTATGCAGCCCACACAGCCCCACCCACTTACACCCCCACATACCCCATCCCAAGCATAATCCTACGCACATTTTTACGCTCTCATCTTATGCTCATTATTAATTAAGGAGCTATTTTCCACAAACACCCTGCGCCACATATTTATACATTTTTAATCGATTTTCTGCTGCCACAGTTTGACAAGCTGCGAGCGTACGCGTACTCAACATTTTTATACCCCAACACAGTCGCTTCCTCTCTCCCGCACCACCCCCCCCTTCCCCCCCCCCTCTCACTAGCTCTCTGTTTCTCTTCTTCCTTCGATCAGTCAGCGGCAGCAGCTGTTTAAATAATTCACGCGTTCCTCGGGCGTTTCAGGCGCGTTTTTCGAGCGTTTTACGCTGGAAGAGTGAAAAGGTGTTTCAGATATACTTGTAGTTATTTATTTCTTTAGTACATCAGCAATAGTTCTGTCGATGATAATTACTAAAATATAACTATAACTAACTAACTATTCTATATTTTTGATTAGCTAAGTAGCTAAGTAGCCTTTATCGGGAAGTACTATATTATTATTAATTCTATATGCTCGTAATTTCCATTTTTTGTATTGCCCCGATTCTAGGCAAGGACAACTGCTCGTCCTGCCCCCCTAAACTGCATAGACTTGGAGATGTTGCTTAAATGTTGAAAAAGTTTGCATTTAACTGTCTGTCAATTAAAGAAAGCTTTAATAAAAAGTTATGCAGCGCTCAAAAGTGCAAAGTTTGTGAAAACAACAATAATAATAGCGTGCGGCAGGCGATAGAGATTTCAAGTTTGGAAGCATGTCGCAGTTCTGTGACAGTGATGTTGTTGTTGTTGTTGTTTCGCTATGAAAATATTTGCAACGTATTTGGCACCTGATCCATGGCCCGACCACCCATCTCTGCTGCCACTGCAACTGCCACCGCCCCCGTCCCCGGCCCCGTCTCTGCCCCCAATCAATGCACATTGTTCCATTTGAGAGGCAAAGCTGCTGACTAATCAGCCACAGGCCACAGACATTGATGACGAGGACGTCACTTCATGCGCATTATCTTTGCAAATGTTGGTTGTTGTTGTTGTTGTTGTTGCCATAGTATTGTGCATTTTGTCCGCAGGCAAGAAAACTGTCAAAGTGCACATCTCGTCTCTCATATTCAACGTCCATGTCCATGTCGTCGATGTCTGCGTTAGTCAAATGCAATGATGAGCGTTGCACAGCGGGCGGGCGGCTTATTGAATGGCTGACTAACTGACTGATTGACTGACTGTCTGGCTGGCTGGCTGGCTGGCTGGCTGGCTGACTGTTTGCCGAGTCTGCGAGTGACGGGCGAGGGAGAGGCGGCTTGACATTGACATCTGATGACAACAATCAATGCTGATGATAGTTGTCTTGAGTCTTTCGCTTGTCGGTTGTCGGTTGTCGCCCGTCGTTTGACGTTTGACGAAAATGCTCGTAAATTAGAGAAGCGAAACAAAACAAATCTCAGACACTCATTGAACGCAAAGCCAAAGTCATTCCGCTGGTGATTAGCATGATTGTCAGCAATCTTTGGCCAGTGCTGCTAAAACTGTGCCGAGCTACGCACGATGGCGCCGCTCACTTGGAATTCAATTCGTTGCCAGACAGAGGACAGCAAGGCAGCTAGATAGGCAGCCATAATTGTCATTCGGGCCGTGTCTCCCCACCACGTTCCAGGCTTGAGATGCCAAACACGCGCAAGCGCAACACTAGCCAGTGTTTCTATACCCTGCAGAAAAAGGGCATATTAGTAGACCATAAAAATTGAAGCTGATAATAACGCATATAATACAGTGATGGAGGGTTTTTTATTTTAATACAAGTTATTGTAATAACAACAGCAAAATTAATATAGAAATAAATAAATTATTCTACGTAACCAGCTGAAAAAAAAATCAAATTAGATTTGCTCGATTGCAACATTCTGATTTTTAAACAGAAGGCTCAAGGGAGAATAAATCTCTGGCTAGCATGAACTTCATTTTTTGTGCAACTTTTTGCAAATCTGTTGAATGTCTTCGGTATATAGAATTGCTGCAGATCGGTTCAGAGCTAGAAGTGACTATAGCAACATTTTCATTTTCAAATGATTAACTGAATTGTTTGTTAGGGCTTAAAAGCATATAGACTCTTTGCTATAAATGTATTTGGCTTACTATTACATTTAAGAACTATTTAAATATTTAAGCATTTAATAGTTGTTAAAAATGTTAAAAATGGCCTTGCAATTCTGCAAATATTCTGCACTTTTTACTAATTTTTTCACTTATCATCTGCCTCTTGCTCTGAAATTAAACTGCAGAAATATTTAAATATTTTAACATTTGTATTTGGTTTTATAACTAAATAGCCTTTATAAATGTCCTTGGAATTCTTCAAATATGCCCTTTTTACTAATTTTTTCACTTATCATCTGCCTCTTGCTCTGAAATTAAGCTGCAGAAATATTTAAATATTTTAACATTTGCATTTGGTTTTATAACTAAATAGCCTTTATTTTTACTAATTTTTTCACCTCTTGTTTTGAAATAAAACTGCAGAAATATTTAAACATTTTAAATTTGTATTTGGTTTTATAACAAAATAGCGTTTAAAAAAGGCCTTGGAATTCGGGCTTTTTACTCTGCTTGCTCTGAAATAAAACTGCAGAAATATTTAAACATTCGAAAGTTGTTCTTGATTTTATAATACTAGCTTTAAAAAAAAAGCCTTGGAATTTTGCAAATATGCCACTTTTTACTAATTTTCTCACTTAATATCTCTATCGTGTCGTTCCCAATTTGGCTTTAAGAGATGTCACAAATCATTTGGCCGAACGTTTGCTTAAATTAATATTCTCGAGATTTCACAAAATTCTATTTTGAAACGAGCAGCGACTTGTAAACAATATATAAAACAATTTCTTACCACATTAAAAGGTTCTGGGTTCTTCTATATAGACATAACATCATCTCTGTAATTAAAGAGCAACAAACAAATAATTTGAAGGAAGCGAGTTGTAGTGTCAGTGAGGCCGAAGAGAAGCTGTTCTTTTAAGCTGTCTTTCTTACGCTGGTTCCTTCATCTTTATGCCTTGGCCGCGTCCGTTGAGGTAGGTTGGTTGCTTTCCCATGGCTGCTGGCAGCGTGAAAAATCAATTAATATGTTTGAGCCCGCACTGGCGAGCGGCACAAATGCATCTAAGCCGCTCAGAGAGGCTTACAGCGGTCAGAAGTCTTTGGGCCAGCCATGGGGGGAAATGTAATTAAATCATTAATTTCCTGTCGTTAGAAGCCTTTTTTACCTAAAGGCCAACAACAACGCCAACAGCTACAACAACTACAAAAACTACAGCAACTACATAGGCAAACGCCCACATCTTGGACAGCAACAGGCGCTGGGAAAACGCTGAGGAAAAGACTTAGAAAATGAATATAGAATGGAAAAAGCAAAGCGCCTGAAAACTTCCAAGAATATTAAATGAAGTTATATATTCATGTGTGTGTGTGTGTGTGTGTGTGTGAGTGCGAGTATGTGTGCTGTTATTGTTGGATTTGTAGCTGCTGCTTCTGTAACTTGAGATAAATCCGTTATAATAACTCAAGAAGTTCGTGCGGTGCGGCGAGCCCCAAAGACCACAACTCGGACCCAAAAGACAAAAAAAGGGGGAGAGCAAAAGCAACGGATGTTGCACAGTGCATCAAGGGAGCATAATCCCCATAGTCCCCAAACTGTTACAAAAAGCTGCAATGCTGGAAAATGTAGGAAGCCATCTTCGCAGAGCATCGGGAACGAGCAGAGGCTTCAATGAGGTCCGATTCAGAAGCACATCTTATAGGCTATATCTTCTGACCATCTATGCACAAAGCAGACAGCAGTCGTGGATCCTAGAGTCCCCAAACTCTTACAGAATGCTGCAATGCTGAACAATTTGAGAAACCATCTCTGAAGTCTTTTTACATAACACTTGAAAAAGCGCAGAGGCTTTAAGATCTGATTCAGAAGCATATTTTTTGCATGGCTATAACTTCTGACTACCACTGATTAGTCAGTGCACAAGCACTAAGCCATCGTTCCTATAGCAACACCAATTGCACCCCTTAGACCCTAATATCTATGTAGTTTCCATCATCACTAAGCAAATAAAAACCCGAATCGGGTTGCTATGACA